AGATGACATCATGTAGAGGGATAAACTCATGCAATATGATATAAACCCCATCTTGTTATCCTCGATGGCAACAATACAATACGTGCCTTGCTGCCCCTACTGACACTGGGAAAGGACAGCGCAAGATTGAACCCAAAGCTAAGCACTTCTCCTACTGCAAGAAAGATCAATCTAGTAGGCCAAACCAAACTGATAATTCAAAGAGACTTGCAAAGATAACCAATCATACATAAAAGAATTCAGAGAAGATTCAAATGTTGTTCATAGATAAACTTGATCATAAACCCATAATTCATCAGTCTCAACAAACAAGCCGCAAAAGAAGATTACATCGACTAGATCTCCACGAGAATCATGGAAAACTTTTTATTGAGATCCAAAGAGAGAGAGAAGACGCCATCTAGCTAATAACTATGGACCTGAAGGTCTGAGGTAAACTACTCACACATCATCTGAGAGGCTATGAAGTTGATGTAGAAGCCCTCCGCGATCGATGCCCCCTCCGGCGGAGCTCTAGAAAAGGCCGCAAGATGGGATCTCACGGGTACAGAAGGTTGCGGCGGTGGAATTAGGTTTTTGGCTCCGTATCTGGTAGTTTGTGGGTACGTAGGTATATATAGGAGGAAGAAGTACGTTGGTGGATCAACATGGGCCCCACGAGGGTGGAGGGCACGTTTGGGGGGGTAGGCGCGCCCCCTACCTCGTGCCTTCATGGTTGATTTCTTGACGTAGGGTCCAAGTCCTCTGGATCACGTTCGTTCCGAAAATCACGTTCCCGAAGTTTTCACTCCGTTTGGACTCCATTTGATATTCTTTTTCTCCGAAACTCTGAAATAGGCAAAAAAACAACAATTCTGGGCTGGGCCTTCGGGTATTAGGTTAGTCCAAAAATAATACAAAAGTGTATAACAAAGCCTATTAATCATCCAAAACAGAATATAATATAGCATGGAACAATAAAAAATTATAGATACGTTGGAGACGTATCACGCCGTAGGGCACCGGGGGCAGGGCGGTGTGAGAGAGGCCTGCAGGAAGCAGGGCGCCGACGTTGTCGGAGGTCGGGGGCGGCCGAGCGCCAATAGCTTGGGCGGCGGCAGCCATGGAGGCTCCGGCCAGGGAGGCCAGCGGCCTCGATGCCAAAAACGGGGAGGCCGGGGTGGCCTGAGCGGCGGCGGCCAGGCCAGTGGAGAACGCGGCGACGGTGGTGGCCGGTGCAGAGGCCATAGATGCGATCAGGACGAGGCGACGAGCGGCGCGACTGGCTTGGCGTAGCGAGCGCACGGGCGGGTGGATGGATCGGGTACCGGGTGGCAGCTGGCGCGTCGGGCGCACGAGCGGCGGCGGTGCGGAGGATACGCGCGACGGCGGCGACGGAAGCTAGAAAGAAAACCTAAAAATTTGATACCATGTATGATTGCACGATGTATTGCTCATGTGCAAAGGCATGTATATATGATGTACAAGAGGTGGGCCACGACCTCAACTATACAAGGAACTAGGAGGTGGGCCCAATACACGGATATACACAACACATATACTCAACAGATGTAGACGATAAAAAAACGAGACCAACCCGAGCTAAACTAGTCTGTTGGTATTTTTATAGAAAAAAACTCCGTAAGCACCAAGTGCTCGAGCCTAGACTTGAACATTGGTGGCAACTCCCACGCCTTCCAACTGTGCTACGCTCTATTCTCGTAGATGTTAAATAAAAAACATGAATACGACCCTGAGAGCATCTCCAACCGGACCCCACATTCACCTCTAACGACCGAGGGGACTGTCCGGATGAAAAACCGCACGCAGCCGCGCCATTTAAAACCATCTCAAATGCCCGGACAGATCGATAGTTTCATATCCGGTCCATATCTAAGACGAATATGAAGATGTCTAGACACGACTGTCGGCATCCTGGGAACCATGGTACACATACTTGCCTGCCTGCAGCCCACGGCGTGGGTCCCTCAATGGCCTGGTACGGCCATCTGCGAGACCGCCAAGATAAGACCCTCGCGAGGGGCCAAGCCTCGCGAGGCGGGCGACACCAAGACCTCCCGAGGAGCGGAGACTTCTATGCAGGTACCCAGCCTCACGAGGCTGCGATGACGTGAGCCATGACGACTAAGGCCAGGTGGGCGCCAGCGGGCGCAGAGGAGACAATTTCTTCTTTGGTGCTAAGGAGGCAAGGACAGGCATGGGTTCTCAAGGAATCTCCCAAAGCTTTCCATTCCGGTGCTACAAGACCAATACCACATGCTCGGCAGGACGGAGGTCATCACCGAGCCCACCATTGCATCACGTCCAGAAGCTTTGCAGGCAAATATCATCTTTCGTCAGGATTAGATGTACTACTTGTCCTCTTTTAAATTGGTCATTGTGAAATCCCTTCCCGCCTAAGCTTTGGGGAGAGGACCAAGGCCACTATAAAGATAGGTTAGCCACCACCCTGGAGGGGAACCAATCCTTTCCCCCTTACCATCATAGCCCTCATGAGGTTGTTCGTCCATTGTACTAGTTCATCCTCAGCCCCCTCGCGAGTCCAATCCACCATCAAGCGGGAGTAGGGTTTTACACCGCAAGGTGGCCCAAACCTGGGTAAACTGTCGTGTTCATCTTCTTCCTCACTTCCACGAATCCGGTTAGGCTAGGCTACGGGGCGGCAAGCTCTAGACTTGAGAGGTTGAGACCTTCGTACACGCCCCTTAGATCGAACCTTCTTGGGTCTTCGGAGCCCTGAATCCGACAGTGACTGGGCACCGCTGCTACATCGGGCCGGCCTGCTATGGCCCATCCTGCTCCCACTATCACCACAAAAAACCACACTTGTATTTCTTTAACATCATTAGTGATTAATAAAGTGTTGGTAGATCTAAAAAAACCACATGCTCGGACAAACCCTAGTCACCACCGGTCCCCTCGCCCTCTGCGCTCCCCTCCTATCTTCTCCACTTCTCTCCAAAAATCTCCGTCTCCTCCGCCATGGCCAAGTCCAGCAGCGACGCGCCGGATGATGAGGAGCTCACGCTCCGCATCGCCATCCAAAACTCGCGGCCAGCTCCGCGGCGTCCGTCACCAGCTCCTCCGGGTCCCGATGTAAAAACACAGGCAATAGACAATGGGATTCAAGTCCAATAAAAATACCCAACTAACCCAAAATAGGGGAAAGTCAAAAATTCAGCGCAAAAAGTTGTGAAATAACACAAGAAAAAAGAAAGACATCACAAATCTTAACAAGACAATCAACGGTCAGAAAATCGACTTACCGATTTTAAAAACAGATGACCCAAAGTGTATTTTATTTTCTTTAGGAAAAGTTACATGACGATTTTTTTTCGAAAACATTAACGCCCACACGTGTGGTAACACTGCAACTCGCCCACACGTCTGGATCATCGTTCAGTTAAGTTTGCACGAATCTTGACACACCGAGTCAGTTTTCGCGTGCCACATAGAACAAGGCTGGTGTGTGGGCGTTGGAGAGGTCGCCCACGCTCCCCACATCACACGGTTGCCAGCTGCGCTGTGTGGGCGAACTAGTTTCTGCCCACACAGCCACCACCTAGTCAACACGCGAGTGGGAGAACTGCTTTTCGCCCACACGACAGTCGTACATTGTTGGATGGCAACTGCAGTTACGCGTGCATGGCAACTAGGTAAACACACATGGCAACTACGATTCATTTGCTAGACGGCAACTGCGCTTGCGCGTACGTGGCAATCAGGTAAACATATATGGCAACTGTGATTAACCACACGTGGCAAATAGGTAAACACACATGGCAACTATTGTTTGACCATATGTGGCAAGTAGTTAATCACACATGATAACTATGGGTCGATTACACGTGACAACTATCATAAATTAGACATGACAAGTGTAGTTAACCAAAACAGAGAGAGTTGACATGCTTTTCTAACTATATTTGCCATCCCGGATAACTACATCTGCCATCCTGGATGGCAACTAAATCGACATCTCGCGGGTATCTATTGTAGCTGCGTCAGGACGTGTGGGCATATATTGCTTGGTGCCACATGCGCGGGATGGGGTTGACTAGTACTTGTTGGGCGTGTGGCACGAAGTAGCTGCGCCCATACGCGTGGACAATTCTACTCTTCGTCCACACACGGCCTGTGTGGACTACCCCCTACTCATGCCACACACGGTGTGTGGGCGAATGCCTATTATGCCACGTGTGGTGGATATCGACGTCTTTTTTTTTTGCAAAAGTGATGGTTGATAAAGTTACATGTAAGCATTTTTATGTGTATATTGTTGATGTATAATATGTTGTCTAATCTCTTTCATCAGATCGGTCTTTTGATTGCATTGGTTAGAGCATACACTTCTATATGGTATCAGAGCTAAGAGGTCTTAGTTCAAGACCCGGCTGGCTCAATTAAATTGAAACTCACTTTCGGTCCACGTTTAGGCCTGAGGGAGCCACACGTGAGAGAGAGTGTTGACGTATAATATGCTGCCTAGTCTCTTCCATTATATTAGTTTTTTGGTTGCATTGGTTAGAGCATGCACTTTTACATATATCAACTAAATTATTACAAAAAATGTTTTCGGCTTGCCCATTTCCAAAATTGAGACAGCTTGTATTTTGAGTGGAGTGGCCCGCAACGAATCACTTCCGTTCGGAAGGCCCTGAAGAAGAGAAGAAACTAGAGCGCGTCCGGCTGAGCCCCACGCGCGCGCGCGCGGTCACCGGCGCCTCCACGTGACCCGCCCCTCTCTTCCCGTGGCCAAACAAAACGCGCGCGCTTCGCTGCCACTCGCGCGCCTCGCCAAGAACACCACCCTGCGGCGCCCACTTACCACGCCACGAGAATTCCTACCCCCGCTTCCGTCCGCGATGGCCCTGCAGGTCGCCGGCGGCGCGGGATGTTGCGGCTGCCTCCCGCTCCTCGGCCAGCGGCGAACAGCGGCGTTTCGCCCGCCCCGCGCGGTCGCGTCCGAGGGCGCGGCGGTGGAGGACGGGAGCAAGGTGATGTTGGGCGGGTCCGGCGTGGCGGTGACCAAGCTTGGCATCGGGGCCTGGTCCTGGGGCGACACCACCTACTGGAACGACTTCGAATGGGACGGTACGTTCGGCCGCGCGCAATCCAGATAACCTTCTTCCAAGTTGAACCCATAGCTCTTCTTGATCCACCTGCACCTGCGTTCATCAATTAGTTATCTCTTTCTGGTGAACTGATTTGTGCACTTCTTCATAATTAGGATTATATACTCAGCACGCTGGTTGTGTTATTCACCTGTTGCATCATTGCATTGTTGTTGGCGTTTCTTGGATGAAATTATGTTCATGCTTGCCATGCACCTGAGGTGCTTGTTGCATTGCCTGTCAAAACTTTGTGCCACAGCACATGTCACGTGTATACTCTCTAAATTTTTAGCCCCAGAAAACCTTTGACCATGAACGGTAACCAGCAAGCTGCAAAAACACCAAAAAAAATGTGTTTTAAGTCTGTAATATTGAATTCATTTCACATTGCTCTTGAGTTTTATGCCGGCACACTGATATCTGATTGCTGCTACATGTCTAACATAAACGAGCATTTTCTGAATTTCCCAGATAGGAAACTCAAGGATGCCAAGGGAGCATTCGAAGCGAGCCTTGATAGTGGAATAACCTTCTTCGACACTGCAGAAGTATATGGTGCAGGGGTAGGGATCAAGATAGTTCTTGATTACTTCTTGCTGTATTGCTCATTCTCTAGATCATTTCAGAGCAACCCTGACAACCTTCTGATGTTGATGACATTTAGGTATCGGGAGCGATAAATTCAGAAAGCCTACTGGGAAGGTATACCATGCATCATTATACACCATGCCCGTATATTTTGATAATGAAGTCTTCACAACGTCTGTTGCAAATTCCCCTTAATTCCAATCAGATTTATCAAGGAAAGGAAAGAAAAAGAAGGGGTCGAGGTGGCCATTGCAACAAAGTTTGCGGCTCTTCCATGGAGGTTTGGCCGGGGAAGTGTTATTTCTGCACTAAAGGGCTCACTTTCCCGCCTTGGTGTCTCCTCGGTTGAGTCATACCAACTCCATTGGTTAGTAGTTCATCAATATATAGCTTTAATGTTATTTGTAACTCTTCTTAGCTTGCTGAAACTGTTCTTTTCATACCCTTTTCAGGCCAGGGATATGGGGCAATGAAGGTATCCGAACCTACATAAATGAAGAATATATTTTTAGGGAACTTTAATATCTTATTTTAAACCCACTGCAGTGCAGTAAACTAATTGTTTTATTTCTTTCATAATCCAGGTTACCTTGACGGCCTTGCTGATGCTTATGAGCAAGGTCTTGTAAAATCCGTTGGAGTCTCAAACTACAGCGGTTTGTAAAAGCTGACTTTATTTCTCATTTGATGGAGCGTGTTATGCTAGCTGCTTGTTTTATGGTAAAACTAAGCTGGATCACATTCATTACCAGAGAAACGTCTGCGAGATGCTCACGAGCGCCTCAAGAAGAGGGGAGTTCCACTTGCTTCAAACCAAGTAAATTACAGTCTGATTTACAGGAACCCTGAGGAAAATGGGGTGAAGGCAGCTTGTGATGAGCTTGGTATTACTTTGATTGCATATTCCCCAATAGCCCAAGGTATAGTTACGCTTTTCTCTTTTCCTTCACCTTTGCTTGTTTGACTACTGAGCACTCAGCTCAACTAGCTTCAGGGCTCGCGCAATCGCCTGATTAGTTATGTCTTATGGTGTAGTTTATCATACTCTTAGTTTGTGTTTTATATGTAATTAGCTGTCAGCACACAAATGTGAAATATAATGCACCCTTTTGAACCCTGTTTCTTTTCTTTTCAGGTGCTTTGACAGGAAAATACACTCCAGCTAATCCCCCAACTGGACCTCGTGGACGGATATACACTTCTGACTTCCTGTCCAAGGTTGCCGCACCTTAACTTCGAACTCTCCCTTTCATCTCTGTTGCGGCTCTGCTCACTCTTGTCATTCCACAATGCAGCTCCAACCGCTTATTAACAAAATTAGGGAGATTGGAGGAAGCTATGACAAAACCCCAACTCAGGTACTGTGTTCTTTATTGCATGGTTAATTATACAGTGTTCATCCTCTATTATCAAGTCTTGCCTTATCTTAGCGATTACAAAGAAACTACACAATCATGACGACAAAACAATGGCAATATGCATCAACTGGTTTTTGTTCATGTGCAGGTGGTTCTGAACTGGCTTATTTGCCAGGGCAACGTGGTGCCGATCCCGGGGGCAAAGAACGCAGAGCAGGCCCGGGAGTTTGCCGGTGCGTTAGGGTGGCTCTTGACCGAGCAGGAGGTTGAGGAGCTGCGGTCCATGGCGCGCGAGGTGAAGCCTGTCATGGGTTTCCCAGTAGAGAAGCTGTAAATCCGCGGTCAAGTTACCCTCGTGGTTTACTGGTACACAGGATTTCCGTGATCCTAGATATAGGAGTTGTAGTTCTGCGAAAAGATGTGGAGTTGTGAAAAGAACAAAGACGTAGAAAATCATAACGGAAATAACTGTATATTCAGGCTCAACGATCAAATTACATCAAAATGATAGTTGTTTTGTTCTTTTGGTTTGTGTTCTCTGACGGATGAAATTCTGGGAAGGATTAGCTTTCTTGGTGTGTGATCTACTCCTATACGTGCATGTTTCACGGAGTGACGAGGGACCGGAGTATCTACCTCCCAAAACCCCACTCACCGTCGCCAGGCAGGGTGGGCTGTAATCGCTAGGGAGGATCTTGCCGATGATCCTCTAGATCCCTGTAACATCCCAATTTTCCTAATTTGGATGTTAGTATGTTATTCATATGCATCTCATATTTTAATTTGCATTATTTGCTTTTTCTGAAATATTCTTTTCATTATGCAACTAAAGACAATTTATTGGAGCGGAGATAACATGACTTCTCCCTTGTTTTAAAAATGTTCATAATGTCCATAATATTATTTCCAGTTTATCTGGTATGTTCTGGTATTTTTCATTATCTCTAATATATTTTATTTGAGTCTTTTATTACTGTTTGTGTGGCCTGTTGCATAAAAACTACTCCCTCCGTCCCAAAATATAAGAACGTTTTTTACACTAGCATAGTGTAAAAAACGTTCTTATATTTTAAGACAGAGGGAGTATTTTTTAAAAATTGCATTAGAGTAGGAACTAGTGTTCCTGTAGTTTATATTAGTAGTGCTATTTTTTACTGTGTGTCTATATATATATTTTTGTTTTATACTGGTGTCTTTATTTTTGTTTTATTTTTACTGTGATTTTTTAAATAGCCAGCCAGCCAGCCAGCGGGCCCAGTAGAGCGCTACACGCCCGCGGCCCAGCAACCCTGCCGCTCCAGCTTGTGCTTTTGAACCCCCTCCCACTTCCTCATCTTAGTGACGTGCTATTTTGGCTCACAGAGCACGGGAACGAGTCTCCCGAGCAGACCCGACATCGCCGGAGTTCACGTCGTCACCGCTGCCGCAGAGGACACTCGACGCTGCCTCAACCCGTCACCTCGCCCACCGGAGGAGCGCTGCCGCCGACGCCCGACCCGCCACCGCCGTTTTCCTCTGTCTTCTGGTGAGCACACACGCGCAGGAATTCTTCAACCAATCATGCGCTGCCACATGGCAGTTTACCACAGGAGATGCTACAGTACCGCAACAGTGTTTCCAGAACAGAGTTTTCTTTTTGTTTTGTTTTTCACAGATTTTCACCTATTTTTCAACTAGCTATATCTTTATTTTGTATACCCAAATTAGGTAATTCTTTTTCCTGTGAACTTACAAAAACCAGTACTTTATCATAGTACCAAAAATTCACTTGTTTGCACTGTTTAAATTTGAAACAAACCTTTCGGAGGCCATAACTTTCCAACCGTTTAACGAAACTGATGTTTCTTTTCGCGTTGTGTTTCTGGTGCATTGTACTTGTTTTTTACATGTGGTTATGCTACTGTTTTTGGATTTTTAAATGGTTTTCTTGCTGTTGGTTTTATTTTGGCTTGATTCGAACTTCGGTGATTGATTTTTTATCATGTGAAACGTGTAGATTGTCCGGAGTGCGACACGAGCTATTGTCAGGAGTGTGACTTTTTGAACCAGAACCAAAGCAAGTTACATGTTGATCATCCTTTACCTATTGTTTTCTATGCATGTAGTATATACCACACAATGAATTTATGCATGTATAGGAATACTATATTATTTTGCTATACTATCGAGCTATCTCCCGTCAATGCAGACCGTGGTAGTTGTAGCTTTGTTATGCTAGTAGATAGGGTGGTTCGTGTATACATTGAGTTTATGTGAGGATTATATATTTAATAACTTGAGTAATAATTAAGAATTTTAATTCACCTCTGGGGGAAGTGGTATTGCTTGGTGTTGAGGGAAGGCATCATGGGGTCTTGCACCATTTCTAAGGCCGTGCGCTCATGAAAGTGCACCCTAAGTGGAATGTCGCCCAGGTTCATAAAGATCAGACAAACTTAGTGACTATTAGCTTCCATGTGCGGCCACTGGCTATATGGGCTCTGGCTTAGTTGATCAGTTGTTGGAACCCTTGCCCAGACAGTGTCGACAGATGTAGCTCATGTAGGTGGGATGTGGCCGTCAGGTGGTTAAGGGAACCTCTTCTGAAAGACTTCGTCTCAATCTTCGGATTGGGTCTAGTGAGTAAAGCGTACTCTACTCTGCAGAGTATTAAAAACTAATCATGATTAGTCGTGCCCCCAGTTATGGGCAAATTTGAGCCACTATGCCATTACAGTTATTGGTTGATCTTGACAGATGTGACACTTAATATTATTTGTGGGAAAACTTAATAAAGGGTAGGTTGGAGTTGAATTTGCCAACTCAACCTTGTGTATATAATTGTAGTAATAAAAGAACTGAATAAAAATTTGACTATTAGGCAGTTATGAGGACAAAATCAGATTTCTGCAAAAATAACCCTCAAGCCTTCCTTTTGTTGTACTATGCATATACATGTAGGTCTGCTTTATTATAATCCTTTGTAACTTGCCAATACATTCAAAGTATTGACCTATATGGTTGCACCGCCTCATGTTGTAGGATATTCAGACGAAGAGTAAGGTACCGTTAGGGTTGCGAGTCTGCACTCAGCATTGCCAGTGGGCTATGATGGGACTCATCGTTATTTTTCCGCTACTTTTCCGCTCTTTGATTGAATAAAGCTAGCCAAGTGCTATGCAGATTGCTTTATTTTATACATTCTGGATCATACATTGTAATAAATGATGCACTTGCTATTCTAGTATTCATCTATACTGCGTGTGCTAGCGAGTTCGATCCAGGAACTAGCACGGTAAGCACAGAGACTCAAATCCTTCGAGGTTTGGTTGTTACAGATGGCATTAGAGCAGTGTGTTGACTGTAGGACGTGACCCTAGAAAATGGATTAGAAAAGCAATAGGAGTGAAAATTATTTTATAAGCTAGTTATACTTCTTACTATTTATTAGTTAGCCCCCTCAAGTATGTTGACTAGTTAAGTAGGAACTAGTGTTGAGACCAGCATTCATGCTTGTTTTATATTGCAACGTTATCGTGTTAGCGTATATGATTATGTCCACTTTCGTGGTATGAAAATACTAGATTGTTTGCTTGTTTGTTAAATTGCATCTTGGAGGGTCCTGTCGCAGCTTGTTGGGACAATTACTTGGTCACTTATCCCATTGCTACTATCACCTGGCCACAGTTTCATGCAGCTTTCCATGATGCACATGTGTCTGCTGGTGCTATGAGTGTAAAAAAGGAGTTTCGCAGTTTGCGCTAGGGAGGTCGAACAGTTAATGCGTATGTGGAGGAATTTAATAATCTTTCATGTTATGCTCCTAATGATGTTAACACTTATGCAGCTAGACAGGAGAAATTCTTGGAGGGCCTAAATGATGAGTTGAGCCTTTAGTTGACAGTGGCCACTTTTAATAATTGCCAGGAGCTGATTGATAATGCTATTATGCTAGAGGGGAAGCATCAGGCCATAGAGAATCGCAAGAGAAGTACAACAGCAATAACAGGTATAATTCAGGACCACAACAGAAGCCACTCACTTCATATCATGGTAATGGAGGTAATGGACATAATCATCATGGAGGTAATGATCATAATCATCATGGAAGGAATGGCCATAACCATAATGGCCACCATCATCACAATGGGCACAAGAGTAACAACGGCAATGCTAGAGGTAATGGTAATGGTAATGGAGGGAACAATAACCAGAACCACCAGGTTACACGTGCGCCAAGGGATTCGAGTCAGGTGCAGTGCTTCAGGTGTAAGGCTATGGGGCACTATGCCACAGATTGCCCGGGGCCGAAGAACTGTAGCGACCCGACCTCAGATGGTCAAGTCTCTGTGTTTAAGTGTCATCCCTGGATCGGTAATGCTGACACACACAGTACTTGAAGGATTTATAACAGAGTAGTAATCACACACTTATTACACCGGATGTCTCAAAAGAGAACTTATTACAATAAATATGGCTTAAGGCCATCTAAATAAGATAACAACGGAAGACTTGGAAGATAAAGTGAGTCCATCAACTCCAACGGCATAGCTGAGTGCATGACAAACGACCTATGGCGCCTTACTCGTCGTCTGAAAAGTCTGCAACATAATGCGTTGCAGCCCGAAACGGATCAGCACATGGAATATGCTGGCATAGTAACACAGTAGAGCAGAGAATTTTAAATGCTATCACTACATGCATATATGGATGGTGGAGGCTCTATGGTTACAATGTTTATGTGAAAAGCCAATTTTTTCCTACAACAAAGGAATATATTTTGTGTAACTATCATGGTAGTTGAAACAACATTGAGAATGGTACCCCCATCTCAATCCCAATTAAAAGTAATTATCAACCCAACAAATTAATTTTGAGTGACGAGATCCATAGGATAATTCAAGAACCAGATACTTAGGATGTCCATAACTGGGGACACGGCTAACCATGATGATGTAGGGTAGAACCCTAGTGGCCCGATCTTTCACAAAAGGAGCGGATCCCGCGATGAACACGAAGAACACGAGGGGGAAAACGAGGGGAAAATCACGAGGGGAACACAAGAGAACACTCAAACCAACAAGAATGATCACACATGCACTAGATCCATGAACAGAAAGAGAGATACAAGATCCAAAGTCAACAACAGACGATACAAGAGGTAACGGTCTTCTCCATGAGGAGGTCTTGAGGGGGCTACCCAAGAGGGGGTCTTGATGATCTTCTCCGCAAGGAGGTCTTGAATCCAAGGTGGATCTTCTTCGAAGAGGGGCCGTGGTCTCTCTCAAGGAGTAGATCCGATATGGATGAACGAAGCTCTATCTCACAAATGAGCTAACACAACGCTAACTCTAA